TCAGTATGTTCACATACTTCTGCGGCATTCCTTTGCAAAGGAGCGAACCCATAAGAAATTCGGGATGAACTGAGTCGGAGGCTCATTTTAGGCCAGGGAACACGACAACCGTTGGTCGACCGTGTGTATGACGTAGCTCGGGAACTTCAAGGAGAGTGAAGATTTAATCGATAAAACAGCAACCTGGTAGAAATCCTCGTTTTTGTGGATATTTGTCTCCCTAAAAGGTGTCAGACATCGAAGTATGACGGATGCTAATAACTTGGTGACGATTGAGATCAGACTTATTCCACGGTGATTTTCGCAGTCGTTACGAGATCCCTCCTTATAAATTGACGCGATCAGTGATTCGCTCCAGGATGATGGAAAAGTGTGACCAGGTGTTAAGCATTAAATTTTAATTTAAGTCTACGAGGTCATCGCCCCCTGTTTTGAGAAGAGTAGGAGGAAGCTCGTCCGTTCCTGGTGCTCTTCCTTTGTTCAGGGCTTGGATGCAAGATCGTACTTATTCTTCAGTGCCATGTTCACATGACAATGCTCACGCAGCTGCAGCTACAACAGACGAAATAGTCTGCTTAGCGCCTGACCAGCTGAACTGTTCCTTGAAATACTCCGCCCATCGGTCGAACCATTGTTCCCTATTGTGAATAGCTTGTCCAATTTTATCGCAGCTTGTTACACTAACTGTGGTTCGCCGACCTCCCGTATTGCTTATCAGTTGAAACAGTCTGACTATTTCCTGATGCAGCTTCTACTTTGATTTATCTAGCTATTCTTGCCCACCGGTTTTCACGGTCCTTCTTGAGGCTCTTGGTGATCTGAAGTTACAGAGACCACCTACCTCTGCTTTGATCCCGTGCGGCCGTGATTCACCGCCTTTTCTCCATCAGTGCTACTGATTCATCAGATATTCACTGCCTCGGACGGGCTACCGCTTCAGATCCACAGGCAGCCCTCACTGTTTAGTGCATTGCTTGTCTAATCTGATCACATTGTTCATCTGCACTGTCACGCTGCAGCGCGTTTAGCTCTTGCCCTAGTTGTGATGCAAATTAGGCTGGGCCCGATAAACGTTGGTTTGCCAATCGAGTTTGGTGATTGTTTCTGCCACCACTCAGTTGGAGATTGAATTGCATCAACACTAATGCATGATCAGATTCAACGCCAGTGATTCAATAGGACCCGCAGTTTTGTACTGAGCCACGCTAACGGTAGCTTACTGCTGTGTGGTCGATCTGAGTTAGCGTGTCAGTTGAATTTGAGCGCCACTTTGCTGTCCGTTGAAATCTGTGTCGGAAGTTGGTGCTGGATAGGAACAGATGCTAATCTGCGCAGAACTGAAGAAGTCGATCGCCATTATCTGTTCGCTGGCAGGGCAGAGCACAATAACCGCCTAGGCAAGCTTCCGATGCGCTCAGTTTTTCAACTTGAGGGTTAAAATCACCTGAGAGAACAAGTATGTCGGAGCTTCGACTCAACCGAATGAGTTCGGTGGGTTTATCATAAAACTTGTCTTTTTGTGCGTCAGAACCGCAGTTGATCAGTGCATACACTGCAATGATGAACAAACACCTTTTGGCATTGCTTCCCTTCCGGACGCTGATAGACCCTTGGAGCCGCATCGCACAGAAGTGACTGTTGACGGGGATCCAGTCGAGCAGTATAGCTTCGGCTGTTTTATTGAGTACAATGCCTACGCCACGCTGGCCTACTGAACGGGCTTCGTCATCACCTGACGTACGGAGGAAGAACCTCGAAGACAACCCCGGTGCACTTAAGTGGCATATAGTACTAGGATCATGGGCTCGAGTCTCCGACACGCAGCAGACATCAATCCCCAAAGAGTCCTTTGTACGCGCCAGACACGCTTGTTAACCTACCTGCATCAGAGTCCTCACGTTGAAGGCCCCCGGATTCAGTGGCTAACGAGGCTTCAGAATCTGCAATCTATTTTGTGGTAAACTACTTACCGGGCTACTTGGCAACGAACTTTCGCAAGTGACGAACAAGTTGTTTGAGGGAACGTTACGGGTTGGGAGAAGGGAGAGGGTAGGGTACAGAAGATAAAGAGTTAAACAGAGGCTGAGATATCTGAGCAGTAGCCTACTTACACTACCCACCACGCTCGATGCAATGGGCAGCGCGGTCCTGATTATCCTGCGCGAGGACCGATGCAGTATGGGATTATTTTTTGGTTGTGTAGGCAATTGAGTTTGATGGACGGGTACTGATAGGGTGTCCAGCCACTAAGCAGGAGAACGATTAGGGTTCTCTCCCAAAGCCTTTAGATCTGACAAGAACCTGACCGCAAGGCAGCGGGTAAAGCGACGTAGATGCCCATTTACTTGGATCAATTACTCCTCTAACATTTTACTGACTGAGACGCTAACTTGAGTTGAACCCCCAACCTGGAGGATCAGGTGACTGGACTTTGTCTGACCTTCCAGGCATGACAAGATCTCCTGGTTTGATAAAACCGTCGTATGTAGTTCGTTGGGTCATGAAGGTGCACATTACATCACACCGCGTCAAGGTGTTTATCTCGTCATGGTGCGACTAGTCACTTTTCTCTTACGTCCCGCGAAATGCTCCCATACGATCAAGCCTCTCAAATAGCCTCTGCTCTACTCACACGAAGCGAAAAGCCAAAATCTGGGGCCGTAACTGGGTTTATGAACCAAAAACATTTCACTTAGTTGGCTAGAACTCTGATCCCAAAACAGCTCATTCGGGTATCGAGGTGTATTGGGCAGACCCTGTCCACCCTACATATTTTCCCTAACTTCCTATGCATTGTGAGTTTGGCAACGATCAGCTAAGTTCGCTTCACTGTATTCCGCTGCACGATCATGGTGATTATAACAGTTCAACTAGCCCCATCGACATTTGACTTTCAACCCGTTTCCATTCGCAAATACTACCAGGCAATATTTTTCCTTCTGAAATGTCGGTTACTTGAGAAATAGTTTATCTCAGTGAAAAAGGTAGACATTTTATCTAGGCAGCTGCATCTCATGTGACGGTCGCATCACGGAGGCACATATTCAAGAGGTTTGATTGACGTTTACCAGTGAGAAGTTTACGGCGCAGTCGCGATATCCGGATGTCTGTGAAGGGTCGGATTTATGCTGCAGCAGTGCTACTATTTGGGAACCGGATACCACACATGCGAGTGGGGCCTTATGGCAGACTGTCTCCTGTGAAGTGTTTTGATCACATTTCACTGTTAAGTGAAGATTAGGGTAGGTTACAAACTGTTCCGGTTAGTTTGAATGCTAGTGTAGCTATGTTTTGCATCTTCAAACTATAGAAGGTTGCCACAAGATTAATTTGGCCCAGCCCGATTCTCACTCTAACTGGAGAAGTAATAGATATAATGAACAAATTTTGNAGCTATATCTCACCTGTTGGACGCATCACGGTTGATGTGCCAGTTTGCATGTCAACATGAGACTGTGGCGGCACCGCGACATCCGGCTGTCTGCTGCGACAGTTCGACCAATTCTGCTATAAGGTGCAGAAACTTGGCCATTGCGAAAACAGGATGAGGATAGACTGTCGGTGTTCGAACACCACTGTCTATGCAGCGTTGCACGAGTCTGTTGGGGGAACTGCATGAGGAATTCCGAGGCTAGATGCAGAGTCGTAGCTAACCGCAGTCGCCCACTGGAGCAAGTGCTCAACCTCCATAGGTTATACTGGCTGGGTAATATATTACGCATGATCAGTTTCAGTTTTATAGCCATTCGCTGTGCACCGGTTTTGGTTACCGTCTTTTGACCACTCATTTGGATAAGAGAGCAGAATAAAGATTGGAGCAGAGTCAAACGGAAGATAAAGAATTCATGTGGACTGCGATTGTAAGAATATCGAGTAGATGCACGAGCGCCACTCAGCCCTTCTAACCACCGGTTACCATGATCTCGGGGTCCTCAGTCAGGGAGCCTGATGGGACCTGTGACCCAGTCTCCTGGTTAGGGTTTTCATACCTCATGTCAGGTCTTAGTTAGACCACCCTTCACCTTTTCCCATCCACTGCCTCCCTCGGCAACCTATCTGGTGACATGCGCAGCACGTGTTCCAAACAGCGTAACCTATGGAGGTCGACCACTTGCTCCAGTGGGCGCATGTCGCCAAATAGATTGTATGAAACGGTTAAGGAATGGTTGGTTGGGTTCGCGGAGCCAACGAAAAAATGCGGACGTGGTCAGACGTTAGAAGTTCCCCGGGTAGTGAAAGTTTATCCGCATTCAGGAGCTTGAGAATACGCATTGAAACCTAGTGCAATCACGAAATTATGTACTCCTCCACTCGTTCCAGGGACAATGGTGAAAATACTGACTAATGGCTGATGTTCTCCCTGCGTTCAGTAACGGAACAGCCTAACGGACGTTTCCAGAAGCATTCTGGGTGGTGTAGATAAGTTTGTTTTGGAGATTAAAGTATGGAATGGGCCCGAACGCATGAGAAGTGACTAAGAAAAGACGAAACCAATATTTTATTACACATTTTCGTGTGATGAACAGCAGACGGGGTAAACCCGATAGTCACGAGGACCTGCCATTCAGTGATGAAAACCGGTAATTTAAGTCCCGGAACTTGGAGTGGTGGACCACATAAGACCCCAATAGGTCAGGCGTGGTATTAAACCGGACGACCGCCATGCTGCCTACCACCAAAGTTCGGTGGCGGGGAACGAAATGTAGGTGCTGAAGGAAACCTCAAAATAATGCGGTGATTCTTCCCGATTTCCGAGACATCAAACACGGTTTGCTGAGGTTATGATCTACGACTGTTCAACTCAGTAGTCACATAACCAGACCATCCAGTCAATTTTAACCTGGTATACATTGCTATCTACTGTCACATGAAGTTCGTACTTGAAGCTTCGTCTTTTTGTAACAACACTGTCGATTAAACGTTGAATGCATTTTTCTCCGCTTCAGTACATAATTATTGAATGCTACATGAGCCCACACCAAAGTGGTTTATAGCCAAACATGCCTTCTAGACGCACTTTGACCAATGTCGAGATCGAGTATGAAGTGGAGGAGATAATCGATGTGCGGCAAACGGATGGCAAGCTGGAGTTCCTTATCAAGTGGAAAGGACATTCATCGTAAGCAGTTCGTCAATCACGGTGGTTTTAATTCCATAGGGAAATGAACACGTGGGAACCTCGTTCCAATCTTAAATGTCCGATTATACTGAGAAAGTTTCTTGCTGAAAGAGGTCTTCTCAAAGAAACCATTGTGGATGTGGTGAGTTAAACGTCGGTTATCGTAATTCTCCTTCCCCAAGCCCGATGATATCGAACCATACGGTTTCGATAGGGGTCTAGCACCCGAGTGCATTGTAATGGTTACAAAGAAAGATGATGAACTCTACTTCTTGCTCAAATGGTATGTTGAACACTTACATACTCACATCCTCTTACAGGAAAGGTCGTTCCGAGTTTGACGTTGTTCCTGCCGCTCAGGCCAATATTCGATGTCCCCAGTTGGTGATTGAATTCTATGAAGGTCTCTTGCATTTCAAATAATCATGCTTTTGTCTTAACCGATTTTTGAATCAGAAAGACTATTTTTTTACTTGAACTGTTTTGTATATATATATATATATATTTGCACGGAAAGGTGGCAGTTCATGATCACAAGGTGGAGTGAAAACATTGGAAAATCAACTGCACTGTACAGAGTGCGACCCATATCTTGTAGCCGGATTATAAAAGCGCGGTACTCGAGTTTGGTCAACCTGAAACATCTTCTGTCTCCAGTATCACAGCCTTATCAAGCCGATGCTTGTGTCTGGTTGAATTGTACGATAAGATCTTCTTGTTCTTGTGTCCGCATATCTTCGTACAGAGTACCGTTGGTTTTTGCGATTCGACGCGCCTGTGTGGAAGAGGAATCACGAAATTGGAATGGGAACATTGTTAGTGATATAACTAGCGAGTCTATAGAGTTATTGATCACAAAACACTCATGATGAATAGACTAGACGTCATCGATCCCGAACGCAAATGTCTGAATTTACTTTTTGTGAACTGGTGAGGAGTAAATACGTCATCTAATACAGGAAGCAACTTCGCTTATTGTTGCCGAGCTCATAGTGTACATAAAGTAAACAAGAAATTGCAAGGCAGGGGTCCTGTTAGCGGCAAGGAGAAAAGCGGAGTGACATTCAGCGCAGTAGTATACAGAATGCAACCTAGGCATGCTTTTCAATCGTCACTATGGAGGCAAATATATCACGAAATTTTATTTGGGATAAAATCAAGAAAAGAAACATTGGCTAATACGTACCGCTTGGATTTCTGCGTTTGTTATCGTGGGAGCATCAATAACCGAGGCAGGATTGCCGAAAGCACGCGGAAGGGTAACAGGCAACGCCGGTGGTCCCAGTGGTCGATGGGCTACATTCTCACTGTAATCCACAGATAGAGGAACCGGTTTGTCATTGGAGCGAAATTATTCATCTAAAGGTGCACTGAAATCATCACTATAAAGCTGACTTCTGGTCTCACGGCTCATGTTCTGTTACTGGTTTACATGAACGAATTAAATAACAACAAAATTCATACTGTTGTCAATCGCAGTAAGCGGTGCGGTTAGATCACATTATCATAATACGAAAACAAAAATTTATTTGCCAAGTTGAAATTGAAGAGAGCACAACAGAACGGGATAGCATTAGTTACGCCTCAGCAGATTTGGNCCGTGAACGTGAGAACCCGGGGATTGGTGTTAGCATATGACCTAAGTCGATTTGTCGGGCCCGGATCATGATTCGTCATTGATAAATGTCGAACGACAGGTGACGCAGATCGTTTGTGTTCCATGTCCTTTGGTAAGGGTGGTGGTTGATCATAGTGGGATGTCTGAGTTAGCGGCGGGTGACAAGCCTGTGGAAT